AAACGTTAAGGCGTTTGAAATTTAATCAATTATATATTTAGTTCCCGATAAATTATATCGGGGTCCATCACGCATGCTAAAGGAAATAATATAAGCAAATCTTCCCAATATTTTCTAAATTTTAATTCCATAGCAATTGTAATTTCACTAAAATCAGGGTCATTTATGTATTTATGAAATGTTCTTGCAATTATATTAAGACGTTCAAGCACCATACAGCTGATGGGATAGTAAACGCCCGATAAAATTTTAGTGGTTTCATAAAAAGATGTCAAAATTTTTTTAACTTTCAAAGCTAAATACCAATCACGTTCAGTGAACATACCCTCGTCATCATTTCTAACATGTCTATTATTATAAAAGTCAGTTATTAAATGTTCAAAACCTTCACATGATTTTAATAACAAGTAAGTAGAGTTCCACCTATGACCTACGTTGCTAAAAAATGTTTTAGCATTTTGCACTCCTATTTCGGCACAATAATCATCAAATGTTTGTTTTCTATTTGGAGAGATTGTGATATATATTAGTGCGTTCCTAATATTTTGAAATTCATCTTTTATATATTTTAAACAATCTTGGACAATTAAATTCAAAATATGACATACACAATGAATATGAAACAAATATCCACCAAAATCAGGTTGTAGTACCCTATGCAATTTTTCAGCAACTACTTTATTAACACTAGCATTATCGAAAGTAAATGAACGGATTTTACCTTCGCAATGATATTCTCTAACAATACTAATAATAGCATTAAATATATTATTAGCGTTGTGAGGAAACTCAATAATTCTAAAAGCAATAATTTTTTTATGCATGCACCAAAGTAGGTCTATATAATGTGCAGTTGCAGCTATATATGCTCTTTTATTAATCTATTCCCATATATCTGAAGTTAAAGATATGACACCCCCATATTTTTGCAAATCTATAATTAATTGTTGTTTTGTTAAAGTAAAATACAGTATTGTATCAGAACGAAGAGTGTTTCGACTTACCCTAACGTACCTTGGCTGCAGATATTCTTTCACATACGAGACGTAGTGTTGGTTGTCAATTAATGCCAAAGGCAACTCAGCACCAGCAACAAGTTTCACTAGGGGTGCAGTAGAACCATCGGCGCCTGGACTGTCAAATTGCAATTGTGTTTGACAGCCTGAAATAAGTCCGTGTTTGGCCGCACATACTTTGTAATGACGGTTGAGATGGGTGGTACCAATTCCTCTTTGCCATGCCAATCTTTGTTGGCAGTATTTACATACTGCTTTTGATTCTTGGACTCCATTGACGATTATCCCGTTGAAATCAACTTAAAGTGATCCCAACATTTTGCTTGTTTTTTCCCATTTCGCTTTCCTCTTGCATCAGGAATGTTTAATTCAGTCTCTTCTTCCTGATCGTGTTCCTTTTCGGGAATGTCAACATCATCCAAATTAATTGGATAATCTGGATTGCCGCTTACATGATGATGAAGATCCAAATCTGGAATATTTTCAGGTAGGGGTACGTTATTTAGACCTTCAAATTGATTCTGAAATTGATTTTGCGGTGTCATAGGCGATTCGTTTCCTCCCACACCGAACAAGTTTTCGACAAATGAGCGTGAATCCATTTGTTTAGTTGTAATAAGTAATAACTAGTAGAACAATAATTGTATAAATGTGGTGAGAAATGAAAATTGGATGAAATTTCAATAAATATAGTGAGAACTAAGAAATGAAAATTGGATATTGTATAAATTATATATAAAAATTGCAAGTTATCAACATAATATAAGAAACTTGAGAGAACGATAATTGAGAGTTGAGAGAATTGTAAAAAAATTTGTGGCTAAATGCCACTATTTATAGAAGAAAAGGAAAAAAAAAATTTTAAGGACCAAAACGGTCACTGAAAAAATTCAGTGACCGTTAACGGTCAAAAAACAAAAAAGATAAAAATAAATAAATGAGGGTCTGAAACGGTCACTGACTTTGTTAACGGTCAAAAAACAAAAAAGATAAAAATAAATAAATGAGGGTCTGAAACGGTCACTGACAAAAAGTCAGTGACCGTTCATAAAGTGACCAAAACGGTCACATTTCAAAAATGTGACCGTTTCGATCACATTTTCATACTAGCCCACGAGCTTGGGCTCGTGGCTCGTTGCAAACGAGCCGCTCACAGGCTCGCCGCGAGTGGCTCGTTTTTTGTGCGAGTCGAGCGGGCTCAGCTCGCCCACCGAACAGGCCCGCTCGGCTCACGCTCGTGTTTTTACGAGTCCGAGCCGCCCACGAGCTCCGTTTTCGCGAGTTGAGCCGCTGAGCCGCTCGACCCATTTGCCATCCTTATATCTAAATATAGCAAAGGTTCTTGACCATTTTTGAAACTGGTGAACCTTTTGTTGTATTATGTAAGCCAAATATATATATATATATATATATATAGCAAAGTGGTATTCTTTTTGTTTCAAAAATATATTTTAATTAGAATTAAGATCAAACGATGACTCACTGGTTTAATGATCGATTCACCAATCGAACAACTGACCTGGAGACTCGATGATTTTCTCGAGTTGGGTCTAATAATTATGCTCAATTATTTCGAATTTGGTACGGAGGTCCCAAACTTGTGCCATTAACGGATTAATTGGTCCATTTTGGACATTAGTTTTGCTCGTGGACTTTACATTCCTTTTATTTCTTTTTATTGCAGGGACAAATTTGTCAAATACAAGATAAAATGAGAAGAAAATAACCTTAGAAAGAAGAAATTTTTTAAATTATATAAAATGTAATCATCTTCTTCTAGCTCCACCCACCCCATGTCCACCTCTCTCTTCACCAACGGCCAGAAGTGGGAACAGAGGCTTGAGCGTGTGCATTAGCGTCTGCCAAACTAACGTTTCGAGATTCGACTACCCCGTACGGGAGTGGTCTCCACTTAGGATGGCCGAGGTGTCTTTTTGCC